TGAGGAAGAAAACAAACAGGCAGGAACTAAAATGGATAGTGTGAAAGAGATCAAGGACTGGATAGCTAGAAGAAGCAAATGAAGAAAGGTAGGACAAATTCGAGAAATCCAGGAGAGTCATGGAAGGAGGAAGGAAGAAATATTTGCTAAAGCCAACACTAAAAGTGTGGCAATACGTGGGATTGGAACCAGTGAAAGAAAAAAGTTACAGAATTCTTGGAATATTCATCAGGAAGAAAATGGTGGGTATAAGCCTCTGTGGCCACAGTAACGTCAAGAGTTATAAGTAAAGCGATGCCATCTTAGAAAGTGACATAGTGGAAACAGGAAAACCCTCTTTTATTTCTAAAGCATATATAAGGAAGATAAAGGAAAATAAATGAAAGTTAGTCAAATAACACATGACATAAAAGACTGAAACACCCAACTGCCTTTTTTGCATAAATAAAGCGCTGAGATACAAATAAAGCTAACAACTGGGCAGGAATACAGGCCAGAAAAGGGAAACAGCAGGATATAGAATATTGGATAAATTATACTCAAGTCAACGAGGCTTGATGAAATTCACTAGAGTGTACCCATAGATATCTCTAAACCACTAACTAAATCAGTAGGCCTGGTGTAGCACATAGCCCGAAACAGATGTCAAGGAGTTCTTACAAAAAATATCTAAACAAAAGAGAATGGATCAAGTGTGATGCCATAGTGCTCTACCTTACGTTCAGCATTTTCCAATAGTTTTATCAAGAGCTTAAATGGTTCAGTAATAACATTGTTTGTTCATAGAACCAAGGCAAGAGCATTGCAAGAGCTTTGGGGACAAGACATGAATTCTGAATGCTTAATAAATTGCGGAAATAGTAAGGTAAAAGTACAGAACAGAAAGTAATTATTAGGACCTACTCTCAGACATTAACACAGTATAAGATATAGTGGGATAGGCACCAGTACTGCACAAAAGTATCTGGTATGGCATTCTGCAACATAAACTAAAAAATTGAAAAATGCTGCTTTCAAAAAAGCCAAACAATCCTGGGATTAGTAATAGACATCCCACATGCAGCACTACAGTAATTATTCTGTTCTACTTGGCACCAGCAAAGTTTCAGCTCTGGACACCTCATAATACAAAAGATGCAAACAAACTGAAAAAAAACCCCAAAACTCCAAAGGACACAAAAAGTAATAAAAATTTAGAAAACACAACCCATGACAAAAGGTTGAAAGACTTAAAAAGAAGAGATGGAGGAGAGACACAACAGCCTTCCAATAAACTAGTTTCTTGCAATAAGAACAATAGTCAAACTGTTCTCCAGGTCTACCCAGTAGAACAAGAAGTCAGCCAACACTCACTCACTCACTCCTTGAAAACAAGGAACTCAAGATTAGGAAAAAAAAAAAAAATTAATTTTTAAGAAATATTTAACTTCTATGAAGGACTTCTATGAAGCTTACTTAAGCTGTACAATCCTTGTCATTAATGCTCAATTTTAGAAAGAAGTTACATTAACAAATGCTTGGAATCCATAGTAGATGTAGGGCAAACCTAATGCTATTTTAAAATCAGGAGAAGTAACATATAACTCGCAGAAATTTCCTCCAGACCTACATCTTTGCAATGCCACTGCAAGTTTCCCATAATATTTTTTTCAGTTTTACATTAAAAAGCCCCAAATGTTTCAGGTTTTCTTTATTAATTGTAAGGAAAAAGTAATTGTTAAGCTCAAAGGTTAAACTCAAGTTTCTAAAAGAAAAAATGACATTTGTAGAACTACTTTGGGTTTTCACTTTTCTAGTGTATGTCAGGAAAATTTCAAGCAATCATATGGATTATGATTGCTAAAGGCAATCCCTAAAGGCATTAAAAAAAACCTTCCTTTTTTCTTAAACACTTATTTTACAATTTCAGCATTTATAGTGTTAGAGGTTTCATTCCAACAGAGGAAACTTTTCCATTTGCTTTTACAAATATATCACATACTTAGGGATAACCTATTTAGGAGTGCTGGAATGCTGTAAAGTGAAGTTAAATATACAATTTCAGTTGAACAATAAATGTCACCTTATTTTATTACTCTGTTCATGTTAGCATGAAACAGTCATCTATGGCCGCCCAGCTAATAATGTATGAAAGCAATGATGTGTTACAGAAGCAGAGTTTTGATTTGAGCAGACAGTCCTTTTAAGGTGGCATCTTTTTCCTTCTGAGTACAAGGAGCACTCTTCATTCTCAAAGAAATCATGAAGCTGCATTTGACTCCAGTACCTCGAAAGACTGCCCTGTAAATGAGCAATACAAATACACTCACCTGTTCCATCATCTACATTCTCTACTTCCATCACTTCTGTGTTTATTCTACCCCGAAAAAGGTAACGATGGCCATCTGTAGATGCTTTGCTGTTCTTCAACCGCCTGATAAAAGAGAACAGAGGAGCATGTCATCCACCACCTTTTGCTATGTTTCTGCAATGCTACCTGTACATGTAGCATTTAAAGACTACTGTAAGAATCACAACCCATTTATACACATGCCACTGAATTGTGGAAACCATTGCTGCATGGGACACTGCTGATGCTAAAGCAAAGATGCTACCCCTGGTTAAGAAGAGTAAGCTGCAAATTGCTGGCCGATGTGAGAGTTTATCAGGAAAGTCTCATTCTGTAAATCTCCCGTTCCAATACTTTGGTACTTATATGCCACTGCCTGCCATCAAAGACAAAATACTGCATTGGGAGGATCTTTCCTGCTAACTGGTTTAAGCTTCCTTATGCTAGTCAAGAAACTCAACACAAGGGTAGCATGACTGAAAAAATTAAATAAGAACACCTTTGGATATAAATCTTGACCTACACACATTAGCCTCATAATTGGGATTTATGCATGGAAGAACTATGAAGACATTTTTTCTCCCTCATATAAGGGTTAACCAAGAATTGTAATGAAGAATTGCTGAAAATTTGAGAAAGTTTCACAGTGACATATTCCAAAGCACTTTGCATTGCTGTAACTCCATTCCCAGTGAAGTCAAGGCTTTTTGAGAATCTCAGTTCTAGGCAGCTTTTCCCACCTCAAATAAGCCAGGGATGATTTTCTGTCCATTTTGGCCTATAATGATAATTAACACTGTATATCAATAAAGGTCAGGTCCTGAGAATTAATGATCCTCTGAATTCTGACCTTCACTCACTCCAGAGAGGTACTAATCTTCAGAAAATTACCTGCCTCTCAATCAATACTGTCTCATGGGTAACTCCATTATACTGTAAGTATTATTCAAAAATAATAGATTTTAAAAAAAAAAAAAAAAACAGCAGCAAGCATAAAGGTTCAGTATCACATATTTTTTCTCTCCAAAGTGAGGTAAATCCAATAACTCTAGTGACCTTTGTACCTATGAACCCAAATTTAGCAACCCAAGTTTCTATAACTCTGCAGCAAAAGGATGTTTAAAAATTACAGTAAATATCTCGTACCATAAAAATAGGACAATTTTTGTAAAAATTCCAAAATACAAACCTCCTGTGAGCAACACTTTCTTTACCTACTTGCCAATCAATACCTGAAGTATCTTGCTGGCATATAATCAATTCATTCTCCACCATAAACCCTGGAACTATGTTCTAAATTGAGTTATTCTCTTGTCTGCAGAGGTGTCACCATGGTACCAGCCAATGACACGTAGGACATGATTGCTCAAAACTAAAGAAATCACTGACCTTTCATATGTTTTAAGGTTTTCATTCAACAGTGCATTTTAGCTAGAATATGGCTACAAAAATATGTAATTTAGTGGCAGACAAGTGAAAAGATACTATGCAATCAGTAACTAAATTGTAATTGCCAGACAACAAAATATAGCAAAAATTAGAAATTTTGAAAAGAGCATGAGTTTATACTGAACCAGTCTACATAAAAAAGAAATGGAGCAGTTGCAGAATGATATCCTTGAAATAAATTCAGTATTCAACACTAGATATAATCACAAGGTTCTTAAATGGTTCACACTCAACTGTTGCAAAAGTTCTGCAACCTAAGCCAGAGTTGAAACTTAAAAACAAAGGACTGATTCACTATAGCTAGTGAAGTATAAATTACCAACCTTCTCACATGTAAATGCTTCCCTGTTAACAGAGTAATCTATAGGAGGAAACAATATTCACTGGGGAAGAAGATTTTTAAACCTCCCTCAGGGTTAGCCAGCAGCTTCTTCAGTAGCAGTAACCCACTGGAAGTCCAGCCTGAAAAAGGTCCTTGCAGAACAAGCTCAGCAGCTTTACAATTTAGAGAGATTCTTATAAGACATTCTTGATCAAAAGGGTCCATGGCTACTTTCCATTACTACCACTTTCTACTGTCCATATCACATACTGATGAGTCCGATCTTCCCCACATATTGGTTCAGCAAGAAGCTCTACAGGTGCTACAGTGAATCTAACCACAAGTCTATAATTAGCACAGGAGGAGAGAAAAGGGATATCCATCCCCTAGCCATCTGCTCTTATGTATGAATATAAGTATAAATTTATTTGGAAAAATAAGTTTTAAAATATTTAAAATAATACTTTGGAATGATGAGTCCTACGCAAAAACTCGTGAAAAATACCATATATAAACTACATACAATAGCAGACAACAAGAGTTGCTAATAAAATTTGAAAGCATCCATTAAAAACTGGTTTCAGATTCATGCATTTTATGCATAAATTTCCATTTACTTTGCTGGTTGTAGTTGTATATGTACATCTGAGGTTATAACTAGACTACGCAACACATGGATATCGTGGTACACATATATAGGACTTCTGGTCTCTATTATCCAACCCTCGTATCTCCTCCCCTTTCATCCACCCCCACAGGTAGCAAGAAGAGGACGATAAGCACCCACTATTTCCCAGCTAAAACAATGGGGGAGGAGGAAATCATTATGGCATCAGGCTGCCCGATCAGCCTTTTCATCCTCAAGTTGATGGTGCTGGGTGCTCCCATACGCTGGACTGCATGGCCAACAACCTTCACCCAGATGCATCAAGAATACATTTTGCTGTTAACATTGCACTTGACCATCGTCTCATGCACAGCCTTCAAAAGCAGCTAGGCCAGGATCCAACCATTAACAGACACATGATCACTGCCGAGCCAGAGCACTCATCAAAACAAATGGATATTACAAGTCAAGAGAAAGACATCTTTAACTTGAATGCTACAGACAATCCAGGGCACTGGATTGACGGTTGGAAAAACAGGATGGAAGTTGCCTATCAACTCTGGAACTACCCTCGAAAATCTTACAGCACTCGCACTGATCTGATGGACAGGCTGTGGTGATGACAGTAGAACATGGATTTATGAAGCAACAGTTTCAGCAGCTGCAGACAGTTTCCTTGACTGGACACTGAGGTCGATGGTGGAGTTCCTCTGACACCATCCACAAGTGTGCAGAGGCAGAGGCAAAGATAACGGTATTCGCAGTGCTATTAGAAAGCATACTCAAGATCTGTCATGTATCTAGGAATTTATCAAGGATCTATCCAGTAATGCGTATTCAGTGGCTACTCAAAAATGGTTTCTGGATCAAAGAGACAAACTCAAGCAATTTCAAAAGGGATGCCTGTACATAGAAGAACCCTTATTTCTCAGAAGCATGAGAGCACTGGACAAACATTAACTGCAGAAGCTTGTTGCTGAGCTAAGGAATTGCTTCTTGCAATGCAGCACGCAGCAGCTTTCTGGCTGTTTTCCCTGATTAGAAATACAAGACTTGAAACTCTTGAATCTGTAGAGACTAATTTTATAGCATAACCTACAACACTGATTTGTTTGAACTAAAAATTCAATCTGTTTACTCTTCCTAGAAGAGAGTGAGGCCATCACATATAACCTGTTGTGGAAGACTGACAAAATAGATTCCTCCCTGCACTTCATCGTTTGGATTCTGCATTCCTACAGAATTTTTCCAATGTTTGAATTAAATACTCTTCTCTTTGGAGTTTGAGAAATAAAATTCCTCTAAAAATGCTGACTTTTATATTGCAATTAACTACAGTAAACACTTTGGTGTTGTTCAAATATTCTTATGAAACAGCACACAGAGAATCGATTAGCTCTACTGTGAGAAAAATATAAATTATTTTTCAAAGTATAAATTAATAATTTACCTGTGCTTTTTTTTGCAGTAGACCAAAAGGTTATCAAAAAGAAAAAATATCCTCTCTTGGATATTTTTTTTCTGAAATTTTCAGTAGTAGTCCACTTCGCAGCATCTCTGTGCACGTGTCTGTGATGTTGGAGCCCTAAAATCAATTGGAAAGAGATTATTTTTTATTCTGTGAGAACTGAAGGATTCTGCATCAATTAAGGAAAAGTTTCTTACACAAACTCACAACCATCATGATTCTCTGAAAACACCAAGAATAAAACTCATGGTAATTTATTACATTGTAATTAAATAATAATTTCTAATGTTTACTTAATGATGCTTAACACCAGCTTTGTATTCATTTACTATTGCCATTAACTGGGGGGGAGGGTTTGTGGCTTTTTTGAATGGATGCAGTTTAATCACTGAAGTTTCCAAATTATATTACATTTGTGCACGAGACCTGTCCTGAAAAACCAGGCCAACTTTTTAGAATAACTCTTATCCTCAGTAACTTTAGTTACAAGTCAGAAATGTCTGAAAATGGGGCTTTACAAGACATAATCTATGCCAAGATGAACTTGGAAGCTGAAGCAACCTGGAACTTGAACATCATTAAGGGTATATACTTCCACACTGAATTAAGCTAAACATAAAATCAAAATCAAAAAACAGCAAGATTTAAAATTCAGGCAAAGCTAATAGTGGCACATACAACAAAACTGTATAGTATACTTCCTCTTAACATACTCTGAAGACGTCAGAATTTTGCTAGGCTTAAAATGTTTGGGATGAAACTTCCCATGTCTCACTTTTGCTTCAAGGCAGACCATTCTTCCATGTTGTCCTGGTTTCGGCTGGGATAGGGTTAAATTTCTTCCTAGTGCTGTTTTGGATTCAGTATGAGGAGAATGTTGATAACATACTGATGTTTTCAGTTGTTGCTAAGTGCCCTCCTAGTCCAAGGACAGCTCCCATGTCTACTGACTGAGCTAGGTACACAAGATGGGAGGGAACATAATCAGGACAGCCAGCCCAGCTGGCTAATGGGGTATTCCATACCATGTGACATCATGCTCAGTATATGAATGGTAGGTGTGATCCAGGAAGTACCGATCGCTACTTGGTTATCCGTCAGCGCGGGTGGTGAGCAATTGCATTGTGCATCACTTATTTTGTATATTTTATCATTATCATTTTCCCTTTTCTGTTCTATTAAACTGCCTTTATCTCAACCCACGAGTTTTTCTCAATCTTACCCTTCCGATTCTCTCCCTGTCCCACTGCAGTGTTGGAGGGGAGTGAGTGAGCGGCTGCGTGGTATTTGGTTGCCTGCCAGGTTAAACCACGACACATGTGAAAAGAAGGTAGGCATTTCCATAAAGGTTAATGAAAAAGAAACAACTTTAACAAAGGAAAACATTTTCCCCAAAATATTTCTATGAATCGTAGAATCATTAAGGTTGGAAAAG